ACAATAATAATAATAATAATAATAATAATAATAGTACTAATAATAGTAGTAGTGGTATTAACAACAACAATAATAATAATAATAATAATAATAATAATAATAGTACTAATAATAGTAGTAGTGGTATTAACAACAACAATAATAATAATAATAATAATAATAATAATAATAGTACTAATAATAGTAGTAGCGGTATTAACAACAACAACAACAACAACAACAATAATAATAATAATAATAATAATAATAATAATAATAATAATAAAGAAGAAGAAGAAGAAGAAGAAGAAGATGAGAACTTTGAGATGGAATATTAACGTAAAGATTTAACAACGATAACAATAAATGTCAAGGTTAGAGGATCCACTAATGTATAGGTATCTTATATTATTAGATACATTATTATAAAACATGTATGTCAAACAAGTATAGTATAAACTCTTATTAGTCAATTAGAATCCACACACAAAGGAGGTTCCAATTAGATTATAGATTGTTAACATGATTACATGAGTCATCTTATTCAATTAATGCTAATACTTGTAAATTTCGTCAACCATTCATGATTATAACTTATATTAACAACAAATCAAGTTCCTTTCATAGCTCAAGTGTTGGTTATACCATACAGTATGGGCTATGAAAGTGCCAAGCATTTGTTGTACCAAGTGTTATACAACATAAATCAAGAGTAGTCATTTAATAAGCAAAGGCTTAAAGAGTGAACAAGATAACACATACAAAATATGTTAGTATCAAACATTAAAGCCCATATTAAGTTTACACTATACTTATTCTTACACCATTAGTGTAACCTTTTCACCTTGACATAATAAACTTAGCTAGACATAATGAAACAAAGAAAAATAAATAAACAAAATAAGAACATAAATAAGATAAAAGTTAGCTAAGTAAATGAAAGGAAATGAAAGGTATAAACTTAATATTAATAAAAACAAAGCATAAACATTACAAAAAAAACAAAGAGAGAAAGCAAGAGCATGATCTTGATCTAGAAACCAAGATGTCTAAATGCATGGCAAATGCCTCCTTTTATAGGCCAAAATTGGGAACTATTGATTTGATAACTAATTGATGAGTGGGTGACCAACTCTTGACTTGGTGACAATCCTTATCTTCTCTTGTCTGCCCAAAACATCATTGATAACATCAAAATTGGAACTAGTTGAAAACATGAAAGTTGTAGGAAATTGTCTCAGAGATTTTGTGCAAAACATTCAGATCATTTGGACTTCTAGAGCTCCGATATAGGCCAAACACAGAACAATGCTCGGGCTAGAAGACAGATTCGGACTTCTTTGTTGTTGCTCCAATTTGGACTTGAAAATGGCCTTTTCAAATCTTGGGCTCCATATGAAAGTTGTAGGCCTATGTCTTACATTTCTATCCATATAAAGTGGACCTAAATCTGAGATCTACAACTCTAGATATGATCCAATTACTGAAAAGTATTCTGGTTTGGACTGCACCGGCATCTCTTTTCGGAGTTTAGCCATCTCGTTGTCCTTTCAATTTCAGTTCTTAAATTCATCAATCAATCCTTTCATTTATGTTATAGGTCTGCATTTAAAAATAAACATTTACCACAAATTAAATGTATTTTATATTATTAGATATATTATTATAAAACATGCTTTAGTTAAGGAGTTATTGATACTTCAAGTGCAAAATGATGATATAAAACCTTGATAAAAATGCACTTTTAAGTACTAATCACAAGTCTCGTTGCATTCATAAATTTTAGCCATCAATTTAACATCTCTCATGAATTATTAACATCTTATACTCCATTACATACAAAATCTATAAAGGACTAGCAATCAACTATATTCCTCATTAGACATGTGCATGAAATTTAAGAAGTTGTAAAGAGATATTAAAAAAAATAGTTCTATTGCCTACATTATTCATGAATTCACATCATGTAATATAAATCATTAATAGAGTAGCATAAAATAAGATTGAAAGACTCTTATCATTGGCCAACCACTAGCTTTATTTAATTATCAAAAAAAAAATTACTTCAATTACAATAATTTAATCACTTTGCTCTAACTTTCACATTATTCCACATGACAATTTACAGTAAATTTGTATTTCCCCCAAATACATTCAAGAACCCTAACTTTCTAAATTTAAAAAATTCAATCAATTAATGGTTGTAAGTTATTAAAATAATATCAAAAGTCTTTAGAATGCCTCACCAAGCAAGTAATTAAACTCTAAACACTACCGAATTCAAGCTTACACTCCTCTTCTTCTTTAATCCTTGTCGAACGTCCTTTCTCCTTTTCTAATTCACCTTCACTAGATTTTTCTTCCTTCCAATTAATGCTCACTAAGCTTGGTTAATGTTCCCTTAAGATCTTTTTTTAAAATTTTATGTTTCCTTTACCATTTTATCTCTCTCACATGTAAATGGTAGTTTATCCTCTTTCTTTTTTATCTCTTTTTTTTCTTCTTGCCCAAGCACACACACATGCCCACTCATATTTATGTATTAACTTTTTATCAAATTCCCTTTATATCCCAAATAGTAAATTTTTTATTCTCGAGATAAAATTCTTGGATCTTGTTATTTGTCTATATAAACTTTTTACCCTGGTGAATTCGAATTTCAATTAGTTACATATTGATAATTTTATTTCCACGTAACTCACCACAGTAATATTTTATTCACTTTTTTGTATTTATTTATTTTAGAATTTAGAATACAACCAATCTCTTTTTTTTTTGGTTGCTAAAGTTAAAATCATTTATCCTTAAGACTTTATTGCTCCTCAGCTTGCGCAAGAAAACTCACTTCAATAAGCCTCATAGGATTTTAACAACATTGTTTTGCTTAGGCGCACTCATAAACAAGGTCTAGATTATGAGGAAAACAAAAGGGAATAAAGCTTAAAAACTTCGAAGATTTAAGATGGAAAATATGTGAAGAAGAATGTTAAATTCCAAAGAAAAATCTATCTAAACAGTGCAAAAAAACCAACTTGAAAACACTCTTATTCAATCCCCTTTATAGATAATTTTAGGAACTAAAAGCTGATAGAATTCTCTCATTTTGATTACTCTCCTTAAAATTTGAATTAAACCTGAATATTTGTAGCTTTAAATTAGATGTTTTTAAGTTGAAAAAACTGTTTAGATCTATAAAAATCCTTCTAGAAGAAAAATAATTACTTTTACCATCTATGGACTAGATTGATAATTCTTTAAGGACCAGACTCAAGCTTAAATCTAAGCTGGGATAAAATAATTGTTTGTGATGCAAAAAATTATTTTACAATACATCTAAGTCCAGACCTCAATCAAGCCAAGCCAAGTGTAATGTTTTGAATTAAAAGAGATAGGAAAAGGCAATAAAGCCCTTGGAGGTTTAAATAGAAAGAATAATTAAAAAAAGGGTTATTGTAGTAATTGTATAAAGAGATGATAAATATAAATAGGAAGTAAAAAAAAGTGGAAGACACATCTAAAATTTGGAGAGAAAACCAATAGGAGTGAAGTGAGAAAGAAGAAGAAGAAGAGAAAAGCGAGAAATTAGAAGGGAAATACAAAGGAGTTGAAGAAAATAAGTTTAAAAGTAGATTTATGTTTTTAAATGTATAAATGTGTATAATATGTTTTCTTGAACTTTAAATTTTGGTTTTGATGAATGTTAGGGTTCTAAAGATTTTATTTTGGGTTTAATTGATGAATTAATTTGAATGTTATAGGGTTGATTGTTATGGGTAATTGATTATTTAGTTCATGATGGAAGATTGTTATGATTTTGAGTTATGAATTATATAAATGGTGAATTTTGAGTTACAAATCCGAAAAAAATAGTAGGTTTTCTGTTGAAATTCTAGGTTGGAGGTTGAAGATGACAAAATTTTAGTTTGGTTCCTCAATTTGTAAAAATTACAGTTTAGTCCCCAAACTTTGAAAAATTATAGATTGGTCCCTGGAGCATATTCCAAGATTCTGAACAGAAAAAAGATGAATTATGGGTAGAATTCCTGTATAGTTATGAAATTTTAACACTTTCAATTTGGTCCTTTAATTTGACAAAAATTACGATTTGACCCTAAAAATTTGAAAAATTCCAGAATGGTCCTTAGAGTATAATGAGATATTCTGGACAGAATTGAGGATTAAATATGGTCATAATTTCAATATAGTCATGGATTTATGATATTTTTAGTTTAGTCCTTCAATTTGATAAAAGTTACAATTTAACCCTTAAAAATATGATGAATTCCGGATTAGTCCCTAGCTGTAATATTAGCTTTTGCATATTGGTTTGATGAATAAATGAGGTTTATTTAGTGAATTATTATCAAATCTTATTATTTGTTTTATTATGAATTAGATTTCAGGAAAAACCGTTTAATGTTGGGTTTTTAGAAAAAATAACTAATTAGTTCAAAAGCATATAGGGCTATGGAATATACTCTTAGATAAGTGTATTAAATAAGTTATATGTTCTTTTTAGTTATTCTTGAATATGTTTTCTTTATATTTAGATAATCCTGATATTCTACTGACAGGACGTTAGTAGAATTTTCTTCGGTGTCTGCTTTTGACTTCTATTTACCTTTGAGTCAGGTGAGTGGACAATTTTTCATATACATGAGAAATATTATAAATATTTAATTTGTTAATATGAATTGGATCATGCTTCTTGATAATATATATGCTCATTATTATCTTTATTATGATAAAGCATGATTAATTGTTGAATCTGAATTTTTGATATGAACCAATACATATTTTGAATTGACTTTTGAATTAATAACTCCTCATTTGATTGATGTTATGATTTGAGCTTTAAGTTTGAATTTGTATAGGTATGGAATCTTAGAAGGAAACCCTGCTTTTGTGCCAATTATAGATCCAGAAATCAGGTCGTGACACCAAAGCTCATTTTGCTTAAGTCTCTTCCCTTTATAAGCTTCAATGAAAGTAATTTTAACTTCTCAACTGTTTTTTTTTTTCACTTAAAAATATTAATAATTTCCGAGAAATTAACCTTGCCATGGAAAACATACAACAGAGTTTTCATGAGCACACGATCACAAACATCACGACCAAGCAAAACAAGCACACAAGTTTTCATAAGAATAAAAATACAAGTAATCTATCTTGCCTCTAACACTGAAAGTGAGCATACGTTTGCCGAAGGTGGTTTGCTCTGGCTTGATGAAGAGCTTGCTTCAACAAGATCCCTTTCAGTGAAAAATCCTGGTTGTTTAGGCTGAGGCAATTCATCTTCATTGCCCAACATCAAAACCACATATGACATGTTTGGTCTATCTTCTGGATTTTCTTGCACACACAATAGCCCCACGTGAATTGAACGTAGCACTTCAGACAAATAGGGTGTTTCAAATTTTGATCCCGTAGCCAGTTCCAGAGGCCTGCCTTGTTTGAACAGTCTCCAAGCCTGATAAACAAAACCATGCTGTCAATAACACATTGAAGATTTAAAGTGTTCAGGTCTCATTAAACATGTGCAGGCCGGTTTCTGAAAAAAAGTACTCATGAATTTATTGAAATTAAAGATAATAAGTAACATAGCTTTGAGTCCTACATGCCCAATAAGGTTGAGATGGTGATCTGGATGACGGAATCCTCTGCTCCTACAGCCACCCACTATCTCTAGCACCAATACTCCAAAGCTGAAGACGTCTGATTTTAGCGAGTAGAGCCCATAATTTGCGTACTCTGGAGATATGTAACCACTGCATGTATTCATAGAATTTTAAGTTCCATTTGCAGAATATGAAGATAAAATACGTATGATGGAGATGAAGACACTTACTACGTTCCAGCCACTTTATTGGTATTGGCTTCAGTTTCATTTTCTCCAAAACTTCTAGCCAGGCCAAAGTCTGAGATTTTTGGATTCATTTCGTAATCCAATAAAATATTGCTGGTTTTCAGATCTCTGTGGATTATTCTTAGTCTCGAATCTTGGTGAAGATAAAGGAGTCCTCGAGCAATCCCGTTGATGATGTTGGAGCGCTTGGGCCAATCTAGTTGCAAGCTTCGAGTTTCATCTGTCCAAGTCAATCCATTACATCTCTTATCAGATTCATAAATGGAGATGATAAGTTACGATCAATGAATTTTGAGTTACAATTACATATGCATATATGGCAGAATTTGTCAGCATGAGAACTCTTCCCCTACAAAGCCACCTTCCCAGGGGCTTTGAACGATGCTCAATAGATGGCTAAACAATTGACGTCAAATCCATTTTGGAAGCTCAATATTGCTAAATTTGAAAAATTGGAATAACTTTTTTAAAAGTTTTGTGAGATTCATACCAAAAATATAGAAGTCCAAGCTTTTGTTAGGCAAAAGCTCGTAGACCAACATATTTTCATGTCTTTCAATGCAGCATCCAAGAAGCCTCACTAGATTCCGGTGCTGAAGTTTCACGATATGTTTGACTTCATTTTTGAACTCATCAAGTCCTTGTCTTGAATTCTCAGAGAGCCTCTTGACAGCTATTTCTCGTCCATCTGTTAATGTTCCCTGTAAAGAATTACTCAGCATCATAAGCAAATCATGCGTTGTCTGCTGGATTCTTGTAGAATTTCATGCAGCTTGTATCTGTTCACGAACTCTTTCCAATCAGTCATCCTTTTATGCTAAAAAAAGGTTGGTTCTGTAGTGGAACAATTTCAATACCACAGAACTCCATTGGTTCCTGGAGTTTGTACCATGAAAAGTCAGAAGCTATATTGCACGGCTGTTTATAGATATTACCTTATAAACAGGTCCGAAACCCCCTTGTCCTAGTTTATTGGAAACAGAAAAGTTATTTGTTGCACAAGCCAACTCATCCATGTTAAAGAAGGGTAATTCTAGTTCTTCCTTCAAGTTCTTGTTATTTGATCTTCTTTGCAAATTACCTGTCATTTTTCCTGTCAGCATAACTGTTATGCTTGTTGAAAAAATAGAAAGAAAGACAAAGGATCTCTATTTGCCGCTAAACTCATGATTTTTATAGCATCAAACAAAACTGGGCTTTGAACAACTTACAGTCATACCTTATATTACTGAAAATCAAATTTAATTTTTTTTATTTATAAAAACCAATCTTGATATCTGATAATCCAGGACTGGTGCGATAGGAATACTTAGATTTTGATGGTGTGAATACGTACTGTTTTTCTGCTGCTTCTTTTTCCAAACATACAAGACCAAGCATAGGCCAATGAACAGAATCCCGGTGGACAACACAGAGCTTACTATGATCCTTTTCTTCACTTTGGATTTGGTATTAACCTTTGCAGAGTCACCGTTATCTATAACATGGTACAGAAAAACTGGTGTAAAAAAGAGGAAATGCCAAATGCCTTCTCTAATCTGAGGATAAATACATGATCTAGAAAATCTTCATGGTACAGAATCTAGTTTTCTATCTGAATATATTTCGAATTTTAATAATATTAATAAGAAAAAAAATGACTTATCTAATCTGAGGATAAATGCATACCTAGTTCTGATGCAGCCATCCGTATAAAAATGTCTTGCTCAATTTGAGGGAATGTTCTCATATCAATCAAATCATTGAACCAAAGCAAGCAACCACTTCCTCCACTCCTGATGTCCAAGTTGGCATACGCAGTACAGCTGCAGTTCTTCAAGCATGTGTTCTTGCACTCCTCCAGGTTCATACTCCTGTTGAACCATGATTTTCTTGTCTCCGGCATCTTCAAACCTCTGAGCTTCCGAAACCCATCTCTGGAACAATTTAGTGCAGTCTTTCTAACGCAACCACTTGACCAATCTGTCTTCTTCCAGTCTCTTGGAACTTTTGGTACAAATCCATTCAAGCAATCGCAAACTGGAGAGTGGTCAATGCTACAGACACCATTTGCGCCACAGAGGTTATAACGCTCACAATTATCTGTATTTGCTGTCGAGTAAAGAAACCAGCTTTGGGTTTGCTCCATCCACAGAAGGAGCATGAAATCATAACTCTGAATTAAGACGACTCTCCAATGCGTTGAGTTATTAACAAGATTTTCTCTGTAAAATATCTCCTTATCATTAAAAACAAATTCAAATGTGTATATTGGATTTGGTTTTAACCGAGGCAAGCCACTGAACCCCAGGCCATTCCATGGCCCAGCTCGATACTTCACCTTTGAATCTTCCAACGCTGCATACTCCGGATATCCACCAGGAATAAGGGCGCCTGTAACATTACCTCTGGAAGGATCATCTTGTGACTTCCATGATGTCAAGTGCCACTCCATGCCAGTTATTATATTCCGTCCTACCTTCATGCCCGGTATTAGTGTGTTGCCTGGATAATCAAAACTCTGCCACAAGGAGTTCTCCATGTTATTATCACCCTCCTCTTTCACAACAAGGTTTCCTGTATCCAAAAGCTGCGCAACTGGATTCCTAGCAGGTGTTGATGTGTTGGAAGACCAAATGATGCTTCCAATACGATTGAGAAGAACAAGAAGTCCTTGGTTTGTAAGCCTTACAACACCTGATGAATCGTTAAGTGGAGTTTCTCTGTTGGCAACCCAAACTGCCGTCTGGACAGATATTTTGCCATACCATATCCCCAAGTATCGGTTTCTGGATTTCTCGGGGGTGAAAAATCCTAATTCATAGGTCCCACCAGCTGAAACTATAGTGTCTCCATCTCTAATGAACTGAGCTGTGTTTATGGTGTCAGTACGTGTGGCTGTTCTTACAATCAGACATGAAATGAAGCAGAAAACAAGCATGGTTATATAATCCATTGGTGATCTCACTTTGTTATATTACAAAATGGCTGGCCTTGCTAGATGTGAAAATATTCGTCTCAAGGAATTGCCTATTTAACATCACAATTAGTCTACAGAGAACGCAAGACTCTGGAAATTATTGGCTCTTGAGTGACCCTTGTGTTCCAAAAATGGTTGACACTGCTTTAAGACTTTAAACATCAAGCTTAAGGAATCATTTTCTTTGAAAATTGAGGTTAGTGGACTCTGAATTACGATCCTATAAGCTTAAGATCTCTTTTCCATTGCTTGAGTTCGTTGAAATACCCAATCTTGGAACACCTGATGAATCGTTAAGTGGAGTTTCTCTGTTGGCAACCCAAACTGGCGTCAGGACCGATATTGTACCATAACATATCCCCGAGTATCGGTTTCTGGATTTACCGGGGCTGCAAAATCCTAATTTATAGGTCCCACCAGCTGAAACTATGCTATCTCCATTTCTAACTGGCTGAGTTGAGTGCATGGTGTCAGTAGGTGTGGCTACCTTTACAATCAGCAACAAAGTGAAGCAAAAACGAAGCACGGAAATATAATCCATTGGCACTCTCATGATTGTTTCAAGTAGCTCGCTTTGTTATTTTACAAAAATGGTTGGCCTTGCTAGATGTGAAAAATATTCGTCTTAAGAAATTGCCTATTTAACACCACAGTCAGTCTACCGGTAAAAGCTCGCCGTCGGAATTTTTTTGGTTTGTGAAATTAGCATACATAATTGACAGGTAGTCAACACTCAGAGAGCTCAGGGGAGCTCCGGTGATGTCATGTATTGTTGATGGTCCTTGAGCACCAAGAAGCGTATGACGCTGCATCAAGATTTAAGCTCAGCTCAATCAATCAATCATTTACTTTGACGCTAACGAGTACTGGGTTGCGATCATATTTTCTTAAACTCTTTGTAGGATTTTTCTTGCTACTGACATTTTTCTATTCATGCCGTGTCCTCCGCAAATTGTTCTCGATTAAATTGAAAAGAAAAAAAATGTGTAGACTTAAGTTTTTTTTAAAAAAACAATAAAGATAATTAATTATTTTACTATGTTTAAAAATTAAAATGATAAAAGGCTTGAATATTAATTTAAATTTTTTTGCTTTTAAGATAAATTAATTATTTTATTATACTTAAAAAATTATAAAAAAATTATATCTCCAATCAATATAATAATAATCACCAGAGCATTTAGAAAGATAAAAATACTCCAATTAATATAATTTTAATTTTTTATTTTTATTTTAAATTAATATATTTTTAGTATTTTCATATTAATATATTAATATTAAAAATAATTTTTAATAATAAAATATTATTATTTTAACATATTTTAAAATAAAAAACACTCTCAAACACCTATAAATTATCTAGATAGTTGATCATTCCATCTCAAGAACAACTGTTTTTAGAGCATTCAACTCCAATTGAAGAGTAACTTCTCCAAGATAATTTTAAAAAGTTTTTGGTTTAGTATTTCTCTTTAATTATTTTGATATGGTAAAAATCCTGTCCTAGATGTACTTTAAATAAAAAGAGAAATACTAGAAAATAATTATAGAGTTATCTAGGAATTTCTTGACTAAATAAGAAAAATAAAATTATCAATTATAACATGTGATTTCTTAAACTAAGTAGGATAAAATAAAAAAAACATAAAGAAAATATTTTCTTACACTAAATAGAAACAAATAAAAATAATTAAGAAAACTAATAATTTTTCTATAAAACAATACAAACTTCATAACAAGATATTTTAAATTATTTTTAAAAAATAAAATCAATCAAATAAAATAACAATCGGATTCAAATCTACTTTTCTCAATATGTTTAGAAAGAGATAGCATTTTTATTGAACTCTTTTTGAGAAGAGATCTCGTCAAAACAAAGATTATCATTTTTAGTTTTTATAATATGATTAATTGACAACTTTCTTCTGTTGTTTATTATTTTCTGATAACTTTTTTTTTTTTTCAAAATCAAGAATTGAAAAATTAACAAAATAAAATTTTAATAAAAATTCTAAAATCTTTGTAGATGTTTTATTTTGTGATTCTCTCTCTTTTAATTTTTTATCTAGAACAATTTGAAATTTTATTTCATGAAATTGGATCATAAAAGAATTCAATTAAAAAAAATATGAAAATAAAATTTAACAAAATAACACAAAAAAATAGATGAGAGGAGATTTATCATATAAACAGTGAAGCAACTTTCATCACTTTTAGTATAGAGTTTATGGGTGTCAAAATATATATTTTATATGATCCTTATACAAATACTATTTAAATTAAGAAAAACACATATAGACTCAACCGATCAATGATGGAAATACAAATACTATAATTAAGACTTATTTTCTTTATTTTCAAACATGGATTTATTTTCATCTACTTCATTGTGGTATATTTTATGTTGGCCATAATTTATATATTATTCTATTTTTCACTTTTAAAATTTATAAGACACATTTTTGGTTGCATATTAATGGTAAAAATTAGTTTATTAATGGTAGTTAATTTCGATAATTAATTTTACAATGTACATGTGTGTATAAATTATCCTTTAACTTTTAACAAAGTAATTAGTATGTGTATTGTAGAAACCTAATAAAAATGAACAATCATATTTCAAAAGCATATTATTTTCTTATTATCGAGACTAAAACATCCATTACCAGGAATTGTAAAATAATTATAAAATTAATGTGCCTTATATTATTCAAGTATTTTCCTAGTTGCTAAAATACTCTTTAAGTTAATATAATAGTAGAATGGCAGTCTTTAACAACGGTTCCAAAAATAATAATTGTTCCAGAATTCATGATAATTTTAAAAATTGCATAAATTAATAAATTTTTTCAAAATATTATATTAAATTACGTGCTATAATATATTTTTTAACATGATTTAAGTTAAATAACATATAAATCCTTAATTAAAAAAAATTACAAACTTAAAAATTTAAATTACGTGCTATGATATGTTTTGTTAATAAAATACATAGAGTATTATAAGTAAATGTTAAAAACAATTAGTTAATGCTAATTAAATACTAAGTTATGAAGCTAGAAACATATGCATATTAAGAAATCTGATCTTGTATTACGATGAGCCCTTCATTATTTTTATTTAATTATATTAAAATAATTTTTTTATAAAAAGAGTAATAATTTAAATTTCAAAGGAAAAAACTAATTTTTTAGTATAATTAATCGTTTTCTTATTAATATTATTAATTCAAGAAAAAAAATATAATTCATTGCTTTATGTAATTCATTTAATAAAAATAAAAAGTAATCAGAACACACACCTAAAAAAAACTTGGACAATTCAAAATAAGGACAAAAAAATTTTCTTGAACGAAGACTCCTTTGTCTAATTAACATGCTATTTGTTTTTAATTTTGAAAATGTGGTAAATAAAACATAATTGTGAAAAAAAAGTGATAAAAAAACATAATCTTATTAAAAAACCAACTAAAAATTAAATCATATCTAATTGAATAACATCACAAAAAAATTTTAAATAATTTATTTTAATAAGTTCTAATTAAAATTGACGACACGCTAGGTTGGGCATCCCAAATGCATTTTTAATAAATTTATTTTAATTAATTTAAATTTAAATTAAAGAAAACAATTAAAGGTAAAAAGAGGACATGAAACTCATCTTGGATAGACCAACATGTGTGGCTAATTTAGATTAAGAGAGAAGTTGATAGGGAGAGAAAAAGAAAAATAGAAGACAAATGAAATTAGAGATTCTAATATTTTAATTGGGGCTTTATAGCAACAATATTGCTAATGGATAATTAAATATATATTAATTTTTATTTTCAGATTTTCTAGATGATATTTGTTTAAAGTTTCTCCATGTGTTGGGTATGCAACT